AAAAAAAAAAAAAAAATGAGTAGTTTTCAGCCATGTTATTTACTACCTTAATTGGCTTATTTCCAAGGCTTTGGATTTAGGTTTGATAAAGTTTGTTTCACTTTCATTCTTATTATTTCCAATGTTTGTTTTTGTAAACCACATGTTGTTTGTAATGGAGCAATGGACAGAAAAGCATACCAGTTTTGTTTCTACATTTTACAAGTTGTAACCCTTAAAGCAGAACTTCTCTACCTGGAATGGGGTATAAAATTGGATTCAGTGGAAGGAGAGTCTGGGGCAAAGGGTGTCAGGGAACAGGAAGTAGGAGGAGCTACCCACGACTTGGTCACAGTTGTAAAGTAGCTAAAACCTGATCCTACCAGAAGTTGTGGAGTATGACTTGATCGGCAGAGTGGAGTCCTAGCTTGAGACCAGGAAGATGAACTCTTCTGACCCCTTGTCTGTCAGTTCATTGGTCCTGAAGTAGAGGGCTGGAGCAAGTACAAGGGCAATCCTGGCTCCTTTCTGCTGAGGGTGGAGGTGAGCTGTTGGTTGCCAGTACAGCAGCTGGAAGATAGGTGCCCAACCTGAGAAAAGGGAGCTGACACCAACAGTGCCCACTACAGTGGGCGCCAGGAGTAGGGCTGGGAGGATGCAGGGAACCTGAGTTGTTTGTATGGCCAGCTCTACTTGGGTCTTCTAGATGAGAATCAGAAACTAGGGCTCTGAACCTGTTCTTTTAATTTTCCCAGGTGGTTCTGTTTCATATCCATGAACAAGAGCCTAGAAAGGTGTCTGTGCATTTTCTTTGTTTTATCTTTTAGCAGAAATAATCCCTTGAGGATTTTCCCACTAAGCCACTTTCACATTGAAAAAAAATTTTTTGTGTGTGTTGAGTCTCACTCTGACCCAGGCTGGAGTGGCATGCTCATGGCCACTGCAGCCTCGATCTGCTGGGCTCAGGCAGTCCTTCCTGCCTCAGCCTTCCAAGTAGCTGGAACTACAGGCATGTGTTACCATGCCCAGCTTTTTTAAAATTTATTTATTGTAGAGACGAGGTCTCACCAAGTTGCCCAGGCTGGTCTTGAACCTCTGAGCTCAGGCAGTCCTCTTGCCTGGGCTTCCCAAAGGGCTGGGATTACAGGTTTGAGCCACTGTGCCTGGCCTCACATTGAAGTTTTAAATGTCAGTATTTACTTTTTATCTCCAAAGGATGAAGATGAAGAAACTGAAAATGAGACAAAGGCTGATCCCGAGCAGCTCGATCAGATGGTTCATCCTATAGCTGAGCGCCTAGACATCCTGCTGTCTTTGCTGTTGTCCTATATTAAAGATGTCTGCTATGTAGATGGTAAATCATAATAGATACCATTTATTGAACACCTACAATGTACCTGGCTCTGTGCTGGACATTTTCCAGACATTATTTCTGATACTAATAAAAATCCTACAAAAATCACTCTTGAGTATGAGTTTAAAAGAGTTTAGAGAGGTCAAGTTACTTGCCAATCTCACATGGCTTGAAAGATTTGTGATTCATAGAAAGCTATGTGATTCTTAAGTCTGGGATTCAGGCTTTATTGTATTTGTCTTCAGAGCCCCTGATGTTTCCACTGACTTACATCAAAGGATAATAGAGTGGTCAATTGTAAGCAGAGATCAAATTACACTCAGGTTGCTCTAGACATTTAAGAATGGTGTAGTAGGCACTGATATATGGTGCTCAGTGTTATGCATTAAGTTTAGAGGGTCTTTACCTGGTACCATCTTTGTGCCAGGTATGGGTACTGTAGTAAACAGCTATGCTTTTTGCCCTCATTGAACTTTAGAGAGTTTGCCATAAAAAAACAGTTTTAAAAAAAAGTCTGTCGTGTTTTTTGAATCACAAAAACAATTTTTTCCCATTCACATTACTAAGTTTAAAAAATGAGCCCAGTGACTAAGAATAATGGAACTTAAATCTGAGTTGACCATGTTAACTGTTTTAACTGTTTGCTGTTATGGAAACATGTTGGCTAAAAGAAAGAAATACATGTTGATTAGAGAAAATTTGGAAACTATAGGAAAAGGTAAAGACAATTGAAATGGCTACATTCCTGGTATTCAGGGAACCCTCATTAGCATTTTGATGTACGTCTTCTGTCAGCATATGTAGGAGTCTTTTTTAATTTGGAGGAGTGACAGCAAATGTAGTGTTTCATAATCTGCTAGTTAAATCCACATGATCATTAACAATTATTTTAGAACAGTGAACATCTTTTCGTATTCACTGTTCTAAAATAATTGTTAATGGTCATGTGGATTTAACTGTTCTCTTACTGTTTTCGCCATTATAAATAACAGTATAGTGAGCACCTCTTGTATAATCATCAGTTATTTGGGGTGGTACATTTCTAGCAGTAGAATTATTGGATAAAAGGACTTCTGCTACGTGAATTGTAAAACTGCCTTTTAGAAGGGTTCGCATATTTGCCATCACAGGTGTGTGTGTGTGTGTGTGTGTGTGTGTGTGTGTGTGTGTGTTGAGGGCCTGCTTCCTTGCCAGCACAGGTGTGTGTGTGTGTGTGTGTGTGTGTGTGTGTGTGTGTGTTGAGGGCCTGCTTCCTTGCCAGTCCTCAAAAAGGAAAATCTGCAAAGTAAAACCAGCATTCTGTTTTCATTATACTTTGCTGGATAATGTTGTATTTTTTTCTTTTTGTGTGTATGTGTTTGAATTGGAGATCCACTCTGTTGCCCAGGCTAGAGTACAGTGGCACACTCACAGCTACCGCAGCCTCAATCTGCTAGGCTCAGTTGATCCTTCGCCTCAGACTTCCAAATAGATGGAACCACAGGCGAGTGCCACCATACCTATTTTATTTACTGTAGAGGTGAGGTCTCGCCATGTTGCTCAGGCTGGGCTTGAACTGAGCTCAGGCAATCCTCGCCTCAGCTTCCCAAAATGCTGGGGTTATAGGTGTGAGCCACTGTACCCAATTATGTTGTATTTCTTAATGGTGTTGTGTTTTTAAAAACCTGGTGGCTGGGCTCGGTGGCTCAGCCTATAATCCTAGCACTTTGGGAGGCCAAGACGAGTAGATTGCCTGAGCCCGGGGATTCAAGACCAGCCCAGGCAACTTAGCGAGACCTCATCCCTACAATAAATAAACAATTAGCTGGGCATGGTAGTACATGCCTATAGTTCTGGCTACTTGGAAGGCTGAGGCGGAAGGATCGCCAGAGTCCAGCAGATCGATGCTGGGGTGGCCATGAGTGTGTCACTGCTCTACGGCCTGGGCGACGAAGTGAGATTCCAACTCTAAAAAATAAAAATAAAAACTTGGCATCTGAATTTTGTAGCTTGCAAAAAACCTGAAATGCCAAATTTTCTTGTAGGTAAAATTGATAACAACAAAACAAAGGATTTATATCGTGATCTGATAAGCATCTTTGACAAACTTCTATTGCCCACCCATGCCTCCTGCCACGTACAATTTTTCATGTTTTACCTCTGCAGCTTTAAGTTGGTAAGTAAAAATATCAGTAATGTTACTTGGCTTATTTTGTTCTTGTCCATAGTTTTTCCTGTAAAAACTGGGGTGGAAAGGATACAATGAGTTGAATGTTTTTTTCCTTGAGCTCATTTTACTAGTTCCCTTAATAAAATTGTATTTCCTTTTGGATATGTGAAAAGCACAGAGGGAATTGCTGCCTGTCTGCTCAGCTAGGTGCTCTGAAGATGTTATCTTGTCTTTGGTCACTAGGTAGTGCCCTTTCCTTTAATTCTAGTCTTTCTGTATTAAAATCTGTGGGCTATTTAACTTCTTTTAAACTCTTTAAAATCTATGGGCTATTTACTTTCCTTTAAACTCTTTCAGGGTTGAGTTCTAAGTAGCCCAAACCAACTTATCATTATTATTATTTTTGAGTCAGGGTCTCACTCTGTTGCCCAGGCTGGAGTGCAGTGGCACAGTTGTAGGTCACCACAGCCTTGACCTCCTGGGCTCAGATCCTTTTGCCTCAGCTTCCTGAGCAGCTGGGGTTACAGGTGCATGCCACCACATCTGGCTGGTTTTTTGCTTTTTTTCGTAGTGATGAGGTCTCACCATGTTGCTAGGCTGGTCTTGTACTCCTGGGTTCAAGTAGTCCTGCTGCTTAAGCCTCCCAAAGTATACTAGGATGCTTCCTTTTTGATCTTCCATCTGTGGTGGGACCACAGCCGAGATGCAGATTTCCATGAAAACCCTTATGGGGAAGACCACCACTCTCGAAGTTGAACCCTTGGATACAATAGAAACTGTAAAGGCCAAGATCCAGGATAAGGAAGGAATTCCTCCTGATCAGCAAAGACTGATCTTTGCTGGCAAGCAACTGGAAGATGGACATACTCTGTCTGACTACAACATTCACAAGAAGTCTACTCTTCATCTTGTGTTGAGACTTTGTGGTGGTGCTAAGAAAAGGAAGAAGAAAACTGGGCTCAGTGGCTCAGCCTGTAATCCTACGCCTTTGGGAGGCTGAGGTGAGTGGATTGCCTGAGCCCGCAGGTTCGAGACCCGCCTGGGCAGCGAGACCTCATCTCTACAATAAATCAAAAAATCAGCTGGGCATGGTAGCATATGCCTGTAACTCCAGCTACTCGGAAGGCTGAGGCGGAAGGATTGCCGGATCCCAGCAGGTTGAGGCTGCGGTGGCTGGGAGCAGCCACTGCATTCTAGTCTGGGCGACCAAGTGAGACTCCAACTCAAAAAAAAAAAAAAGAAAGGAAAAAGAAGTCTTATACAAATCCCAAGAAGAATAAGCATAAGAAAAAGAAGGTTAAGCTGACTGTCCTGAAGTACTATAAGGTGGATGAGAATGGCAAAATCAGTCACCTTCATCAAGAGTACCCTTCAGATGAATGTAGTGCTGGAGTTTTTATGGCCAGCCACTTTGACAGAATTATTGTGGCAAGTGTTGTCTGATTTACTGCTTTAAAAAACCAGAAGAGAAGTAATTGTGTATGGGTTTATAAAAGACATGAACTAACACTTTAAAAGTGTACTGGGATTACGGTGCCTGACTTAATCCAGAATTTTAAAACTTCCAGCTTTGACTTTCTTTTTCGAGAGGAAAATTAAAGAGTGCTCTTTCCTCTTCGCTATTTGTAGCTTCCTAAAACAGGAGCGTATTGGTCATGGGTAAGAAGGTTGAACTCGTTCTGCCCAAACTTGGATGTTCCTAGCTTTAGAAAAGAGCTGTCTGGGAGAAGTTGGAAGTTTAACCTTTGCTAAGAAGCTTAGTCAGTCTGTTTTTTCCATAGTTTGCATAATTAATCAAATACCAGCTGTGCTTTAATACATACTTTCATTCATGGTTAAGTTCAGTGTGTGCAGAGACTGGAAGATACTTTGTACTTGGAGAAGGAGTTCCCATGTGGCGCTCTATGAGTGGATTGCCATGATTTCCAGATCTGACTGACATCAGAATCCTATTTTGTAATATGCCAGTTCCTAAACCTTGTCACAAACCTGTTGAATCTGTAGCTTCAGTGTTGATTTCAACATTCAACTAGGGATCCATTGGGTTATTTAGCACCCAAGATGCCTTTTGTTTTTAATAGTATTATCTCAAGATATTTTAAAATGCGAGACTATGAGACATTCACAAGAAATTAGAACTTTCTTCCCATATAGGTTAAGTAAAAATTTTAGGATCCTGCCGGGCACCGTGGCCAATGCCTGTAATCCCAGCACTTTGGGAGGCAGAGGTGAAAGGATGGCCTGAGCCTAGGGGTTCAAGACCAGCCTGGGCAACTAGGTGAGACCTTGTTTCTACAATAAATCAAAACATTTAGCCGGGCGTGGTGGCACACACCTGTGGTTCCAGCTACTTGGAAGGCTGAGACAGAAGGATCACCTGAGCCCTGCAGGTGGAGACTGCAGTGGCTGTGAATGTGCCACTATGCACTCTAGCCTGGGTGACAGAGTGAGACTTCTACCCGCCCCCTGCCCAAAAAAAATCTTAGGATTCTAATAGCTAGGCTATCTTAAGCCTTAAAAAAGATGAGACCAACACCTTCTCTTTATAGGGATTCGCAGAAGCATTTTTGGAACATCTCTGGAAAAAATTGCAGGATCCAAATAATCCTGCCATCATCAGGCAAGCTGCTGGAAATTATATTGGAAGCTTTTTGGCAAGAGCTAAATTTATTCCTCTTATGTAAGTAACCTAATTTGCCAAGTACTTTTCAATATCGTGCTTTAAATAGAGTATAGCATTGTCTCAAGTCAGAAATATCTGCCTTATTTTTTTGGTCTGACTTTAAAGTGAAAAAAGTTTGTTCCCCCACTCTATGCAAGATGTTTATATTTCTAAGAAACAATTTTAGAAAAAGTGTCTCCTTTTTTTAGATATAAAATCTCATACGCTAGCTAGGCCTTTTGTCATCTGTGTGGTTGCACTTGAAGATCCATTTGTCTTCGTGGGTAGTGTACAGTGTTGTGTACAGTATTTTGATTCTTTTTGTAGGTTTGTCATTTTTTATTTGCATTCCGAATCAATTCTCTCTGTTAAAGCTGAAGAAAAACCCTTTTAAAGGTAATGGAAATACCTATCTAGGAGCCAATTTCTTCCAGTGATCCATGAGGGCATCTTTGGGCAAGGATGCTTTTAAAAACCCTTGTCCAACAACTAAATTGTTGACCCTAGGACTTCATCAGAATCCTGCAGGGATAGTTCCACCAGACTGTCTTTCTTTTGTGATATGTTGGTAAATGTGCCCTAACTTGGCCATATTACGCTATGAGGGCTGGGAGCCCATTGGAGAAGCCCTTCTGAATTGATTAGGAGAACTTGTTCTCCATCCCTGGGGACGTTCTTAGGGACTTGCCTGTTGTTCCTAGAAGGTCGGAGCTGCCCTTCCTTGTAATTGGGAGGTTGTCCTCCCACCCACCTATCCTTTTCCTTCGTTTGTTTGCTACTCCTCTGTTCCTATGGGTAATAAAGAAGTTATGAACTTTTCATGGCTTATAATGAAAGGCAATTGTGTGTTATTTATGTTATTCTGATTTTTAATGAAGTGAGTAAGTTGACTTGAATTTTTGTTTTCTCTAGTACTGTAAAATCATGCCTAGATCTCTTGGCTAACTGGCTGCACATGTACCTTCATAACCAGGATTCAGGAACAAAGGCTTTTTGTGATGTTGCTCTCCACGGACCATTTTATTCTACCTGCCAAGCTGTGTTCTACACTTTTGTTTTTAGACACAAGCAACTTTTAAGTGGAAACCTGAAGGAAGGTCAGTGATATGGGGTTGGTGGACCCAACTGGGATTTCTCTTGTGTCCTCATCAGCTTTTAGAATGATGATTCTTTCCTTTTGTGAGATTTTGATAACTATGGATTCAGAAAACCACACATGCACTCAAACTTTAAGAAATAATTTCAAGCTGTCACAGTGGTACGTGTTTGTTATCCCAGCTGCTTGAGAAGCTGAGATGGGAGAATCACTTGAGCTTAGGAGTTTGAGGCCAGCCTGGGCAACAAAGTGAGATCCTATCTCTATGAAATAATAATAATTTCAAGCAGCTCACAGACCCCTAAAAACCACTTGCTTCAGAGAGTGAAATATGAAGATGTCTTCAGCGGCAAGACTGCAGCCAGTGCCCTGCAGAAAGCTTCTGTTTGATGTGCCTTGTCCTTATAACAGCCTGGTGTTTCCACTTTACAGACAGAACCAAAACACTGGGGAGTAATTTGCCCCAGATCATGTTGTTAGTGGCAGGATTAGAAACTGAAGCCTGGCAAGGTTTATCCTAAATTTTGTGTTCGAATGGATCAAACACCGCTATGTGAAGACTTAGTTAATTCACCAGTTTTCAGTTTTGCTAATTTCTGACGGTTGTTTGTTTGTTTTAATCTATTTTTGTTTTTTAAAATCTAACGGTTGAAATTTGTTTATTAAATTAGTGTGTTTTAGCCGAGCTCGGTGGCTCAGTCTGTAATCCTGTGCTTTGGGAGGCTGAGGTGAGTGGATTGCCCGATCCCGCGGGTTCGAGACCTGCCTGGGCAACTTGGTGAGACCTCATCTCTACAATACATCAAAAAATCAGCGAGCATGGTAGCACATGCCTATAATTCCGGCTACTTGGAAGGCTGAGGCGGAAGAATCGCCGGTGCCCAGTGGGTCGAGGCTGCAGTGGTCAGAAGCGGCCACTGCACCCCAGTCTGGGTGACAGAGTGAGACTCCAACTCAAAAAAAAAAAAAAACTTAGTGTGTTTTAGTTGAAGAGAGTCTCTAAGAACATTGTAATTAAGTCAGGGTGAGTTGTTTTGTGGTGGTGAATAATTCAGTAGCTTTATAGGCCACTTTCTCTAAATGTGGACTTCTCACCCTTGGTACTGGTGACATATTGGGCTGGATTATCCTTCATTGTGGGGGGCTGTCCTATGCACTGTACAATGTTTAGCAGCCTTCACCTACTAGCTGCCAGCAGCAATCTCCACTACCCCACTTATGACAACTAAAACTGTCTTCAGACACTGCTGAATGTCCTCTGGGGCACTGTCTCCTTGGGTTGAGAATGACAGCTCTAAACTGAAACATCTATGTGTTGTGTTTTATATGTATTTGCTGTTATCCTGTATGCTTCTAGAAAGAGATGTGGGTTAAAATTGGTTGTGTAAACTAGTAGGAGGATAAAACTTTATCATAAGATAAGCAAAATGTCTACTTTTCTTTGTATAAATAAATGCCAGGAATCTTGGTTAAAGAGGATATATTTCTGGTAAGCCATGATGTTATCCCATTTATGTAATTTTAATCAAAATATGCACTGAAGAAACTTCCAAGAAAATATACTTCACCAGTTGGTCTCCTTGCCTCTTAAAATAAATGTGATATCTTTATTTTGCCAATGTAGAAGAGAATTATAGTCACTAGTTCCAAGAAAGAGGCTTCTGTCTAACTATGCTTTCTATCTTCAGAGTTTTTTGTTTTTAAAAAATGACAGGCCGGGTTCAGTGGCTCAGCCTGTAATCCCAGCACTTTGGGAGACCAAGGCGAGTGGATTGCCTGAGCCTGTGGGTTCGAGACCAACCTGGGCAACTTGGTGACCTCGTCTTTACAATAAATAAAAAATTAGTTGGGCATGGTAGCACACACCCGTAGTTCCAGCTACTTGGAAGGCTGAGGTGAAAAGAATCACCAGCGCCCAGCAGGTCGATGCTGGGGTGGCTGTGAACATGCCACTGTACTCAAGCCTGGACGATGGAGTGAGACTCCAACTCAAAAAAATTAAAATTAAAATTAAAAAATGACAAATACGAGACAGTTAATGTGCATTTGATAACAATATTCTACTTCCCTAATAATTTAAGACATTCAAGTTAAAATGAGGTTGCTATTTTGTTTTTTGTTGCCTGACATGGTTGTTAGCTGAAATCAAATCACAAGGTCTTTTTCCCCTCTCAATAAACTAAGCATATGCTGGGCTTACAAATAGATATATTTCAAATTGTCATAATCATACTGCCTACGGGAACATGTATTTACTTCCTGCATCTTTAATGGAATAAACTGTCTTTAGAAAACTCCTGGTGGGGCTGGGCGCTGTGGCTCACGTTATAATCCCAGCACTTTGGGAGACTGAGGTAAGGATTGCCTGAGCCCATGGGTTTGAGACCAGCCTGGGCAACTTGGCAAGACCTCATCTCTACAATAAATTTGCTGGACGTCGTGGCACTCGCCCATAGTTCTAGCTACTTGGAAGGTAGAGGCTGCGGTGGCCATAAGCGTGCCACTGCACTCCAACCTGGGGTGACAGAGTGAGACTCCAACTCAAAAAAAAAAAAAAGAAAACTGCCTTAGTCATAAATGGATGTTGTTAACCTAGTGATACTCTCTTAGGCCAGCCGCTTTTTGACTGTCTGCATAGGCCTTTATATAAAGCATTTCTGCAAATACTTTCTTAATTGTACCTTAAAAAATTCTTTTTGTTTTAAATCAAAGGTTTAAGGTATCTTCAAAGTCTAAATTTTGAACGTATAGTGATGAGTCAACTAAATCCTCTGAAGATTTGCCTGCCCTCAGTGGTTAACTTTTTTGCTGCTATCACAAAGTAAGTTATTTATACTTTTTTGATGAAAACTGTTTAACCATTTGCACTTGGAGACAACTTGACTGCACTTTTTCACAAAATAGTGAAAAAATGAATCATTTCATATTAAATTGTAAAGTGTTATGACCAATTATTTTAATGATATTTGGCTTAGAATGGAGTTTTGGACATTAAGGAACTTACTTATGACAAAAAAAATCAAAAATTTTTATCTTTTTTTTTTTTGAGTCAGAGTCTCACTCTGTTGCCCAGGCTGGAGTGCAGTGGCATGCTGCTCATGGCCACTGCAGCTTCAACCTGCTGGGCTCAGGTGATCCTTCCACCTCAGATGTCCAAGTAGCTGGAACTGCAGTCTTGTGCCATCATGCCTGGCTAATTTTTCTTGATTTATTGTAGAGATGAGGTCTCGCCAAGTTGCCCAGGCTGATCTCGAACCCATGGGTTCAGGCAGTCCTCTTACCTCGGCCTCCCAAAGCGCTGGGATTACAGGCTTGTACCACCGCCCCTGGCCTATCTTATATTTTTCTAGCGTGTGATAACATGCGAAATAGTCACCAACATACACTGCAAGTTCATTGATATATTTTGTGCAATAGTGGTTTTTTTGATGCCTTCCACCTGGTGTTTTTCTATTTAAGCAGATAACACAGTCTCATTTTCTTCCTCCCATATTAATATGTAATTTATTGTCTGGTCTCTTGTTCAAGGATGATGTGGAAGGACACACTCTCAACTGATTAGTCATATCTCAGTATATGTTCCATCTCTTTATTGCTTTTTCATGCAATTTGATTGGAAAATGTCAAAGAAACATATATTTTTGAAAAATATGTGCTGGCATAATTTTGTTCTGTATAATCACCAGCAATCTCTTTATGTCCCCTGAGATGTTTGCTAGATTTACAATGTCCCTTCAGAAGGGATATATGAGAGCAAAGGGTTAAAAGTAAGTTTGTGTTTGTGTTAGTATTGTAAGATTGTTAAATTTCTGTGTAATTAGTAATGGTAAAGCATTAAGAAACCAATAATGCAATCTTTGGAGAAAGTACTGCAATACAGCTATTGTTTTTAGACTTTGATGGCAAATTTCTACTACTTTTATCCAAAGGGAGGCCTATGCACTTTGAAATAAGTAGGGCGACCAGCCTGGGCAACTTGGTGAGACCTCGACTCTACAATAAATAAATAATTAGCCAGGTATGGTAGCACGCGCTTGTAGTGCTGGCTACTTGGAAGGCTGAGGCAGAAGGATCACTGGAGCCCAGCAGGTCAACACTGGGGTGGCCGTGAGCATGCCATTGCACTCCAGTCTGGTTGACAGAGTGAGACTCCAACTCAAAAAAAAAGAAAGAAAGAAGGCAACCAGTAAGCTGAGAGGTGTAAGCCAAAGATGCTCATGAGAGTGACTCCTGTAATAGGAATAAAAACAAACTGGATACAGGGGCAATATCTACCTATTGGAGACTGGCTTAAAGAAGGACTGTATTGTCTCAGGCCTGGTGGCTTTAGCTAATCCATAGCCTTTACTGTGTACCAGGCACAGTGCTAAGCATTTTACATGGACTCATTGAATCCTTACACAAACCTGTGGCTGTATTCTTAACCACTACTTATAGGTGCAGGTACAGAGAGGCTAAAATCATTTGCCTAAAATCATACAGCCAGACTATAACAGAGCTGAGAGTTGAATACAGGCAGTCTGCCTTCTTTGTAAGCATTCACTGAGTTATCCTCCTTTATGAAGAAAGCAAGTTGGAGACCTTGGGCATTTAATTAGGATATTCAGGTGGGATCATAGCTTAAAATCCTCAACAGTTAGGAGTCTGTTCCCTTTTCATCTCTCTGTCCCCTTTGGGTGGCTTGCCATCCTCATTCAGCAAACTTAGTTCTCCCTTCCTGGACGTCTAATTCAAGGTTTCCATCACCTGAGATCTCAACAATGGTAGTGAGACATTTAGTCTGACCAAGAGCTCACCAAGTTGCCCAGGCTAGTCTCGAACCCCTGAACTCAGGCAGTCCTCTCACCTCTGCCTCCCAAAGTGCTGGGATTATAGGCTTGAGCCACCGCACCTGGCTGTTCTGTGAATTTTTAAAAGTGAGTCTTTGTTGGGATTTCAGCTGTGCTTTTCTGTGTTGGGAAGGACAGTTTAGGAACGATCCCAGGTACAGAGGCCCATCAAGCAGGCTCATCAAGGGTGGACCTCTGCTCTGCTTCATCGGGCTTCACTCTCCCAGCTGCTTCCCATCTTCCAGCAATGTGCTAAACCTTTCACCACAACCAGCTAATCTAAAAAATTAGCTGGTTGTGGTGACACAGACCCATCATTCCAGCTGCTTTGGAAGGCTGAGGTGGAAGGATTGCCTGAACCCAGCAGGTCAAGACTGTGGTGACTGTGAGTGTGCCACTGCACTCCAGCCTGAGTGACAAAGTGAGACTCCTACTTATAAAAAATAAAATAAGAATAAATTTCTTTATATGTTAAGTAGGGGTGGAATATTCATAGATTTCATGGGAAAGAGGTGGCGATTTCTAAGAATTAAGAGTCCACCTAGTTTATTGCTATAAATGGGCAGGGTCTCAGAGCTGGCATGTGCTGGAGGGTGTGTCATATAGCTTGCTAATGCAGTATAATAAGGGTATAATTGGGCAAGGTCGAGTAGTGGGCCAATTAGTTGCCATCTTGGTTCTAGCTGGCTCTAATCGGTTCTTAACCGCATCCTGTTTTCCACTGGTGGGGGGAGTGGTCAGAAAACCAGGCTGTTCACTTCAGAAACTGTTTCAGCCACTTGTTGTGAGAAATTAACTTTGCTCTTTATTTTACAAAGCTAGTGCTTTTAATTACTATCTCAGACTGAGTGTGGTGGCTTATGCCTATATAATCCGAGCACTTTGGGAGGCTGAAAAGTTTTGAGACTATCTTGGGCAACATGGCAAGACCTCGTCTCTACAATAAGTAGAAAAATAAGCTGGGTTTGGTCGTATGCATTTGTAGTCCCAGCTACTTGGGAGGCTTAGGTGGAAGGATTGTTTGAGCCCAGTTGGCTGAGGCTGTGATAGCCTGATCAGGCCACTACACTCTAGCCTGCACATCAGAGTGAGACTCTGATTCAAAAATAAGTAAATAAAATAAAAATTACTGTCAGTTTTGCTGGTTTATACTCCCACGAGGAGTAGAGGGCCAAAAGCAAGCTTTGCTAATGGAACAGAAATAGAAGGAAGTTGCTTAAAGTTGTGATGTTGTCCTGACATCCTGAGGATAGATATCTGATGGTACTGGGGGGAGGGCGCAGGGTGCTAGGAAGAGAGTGGCAGGAGGAAGCTCAGTCTTGGTCTTGGAGAAGCTGTCTTGTAAGTGATTTTTCAAGTTGCTGAGTCCTTCAGAGATAGCCATCAGAAACATTGACAACATACAGGTTCTGTTTTTTTTAATTATGTGTTCTTCTGTCTAACTCTTCTCATATACCATGCCTCTTCCTTTCTTTACCATTTTTTGGGACCATGACTCAGTCACCCTCATGTTCCTCCTTCTGTAAAGTCCTCATTTCATCTTCAGCAGCCAAGTCTCCATGTGGCTCCTTGGTAACTCCTGGATCCCTTTTCTCAACCTCTGTCTCTCGCAGTAAAGTAAACAGACACCTATATAATTATGCAAACTGAATGTTTCACCTTGTGAACATTTCCTTTTAGTGTGTAATACCTATTAATCTGAGACAAATTTCATATTCTGAGTGATAGCCACATTTTCTTTTTTTAGCAAACTTACAGATCGTAAACCCAGAGCACTGTACCCTAAAAATGTTGCTTTCTGTTATTTTTACTAGCACTTGCTATATTCAGCAATATCTGTGTGGTCAGTACAGTTGTCACACAAGTCACATTCATGCAGAGTAATGCCAGCATGTAAATGCCTCTGTTTTGGTGTTCCACAGTAAATACCAACTAGTCTTCTGCTACACTATCATTGAAAGGAACAATCGCCAGATGCTACCAGTTATAAGAAGTACGGCTGGAGGGGACTCAGTGCAAACTTGCACAAACCCACTGGACACCTTCTTCCCCTTTGATCCTTGTGTGCTTAAAAGGTGGGTACTCTTGGCTGGCCCAGTAGTTCACACCTGTCATCCTAACATTTTGAGTGGCCGAGGTGGGAGGTCTTCTTGAGCCTAGGAGTTTGAGACCAGCCTAGGCAACATAGTAAAACCCAATCTCTCCCAGAAAAAAAAAAATTAGCCAGGCATGGTGGTGCGTGCCTATCGTCCCAGCTCCTCAGAAGGTTGAGGCAGGAAAACCACTTGAGCCCAGTGGTTTGAGGCTGCAGTGAGCTATGATCACACCACTCTGCTCTGGCCTGGACTACATAGCAGGACACTGTTTCTACAAAAGAGAAAAAAAGGCAGGTGCTCTTCAACATTGACACTGTTGGAGGTGAATTTAAATATGAACTTGTGTTTGCTTTTTCCAAGGTTGGGAATTAGGACTTTTTTGTCCTAAGTGACCCTTCCCGGCTGTTGAGGAGAATCTCATGGCCTCCCTGCATGGTTCACAGGCCTGAAGTAGACAATACTTGGCAGAATCTGCTGAGTGTCACAGGCACACCTGGGTTTGCAGAATTTCACCCCAGCCAGAGCCCAGATTGAACCCCAGGGATTTGTCATTTTTGTCTTTCTGTACATCTGCTGGTTTAAACATGAAGGGTATGAGGGTGAAGGCACCAGGAGAGGGAAGTGCTGTCTTTTCTTGGGTCAGGATTTTTTGCCAAGTGACTTGCTCCTTCCTCTAGAAACCACATTTCATACTGCTGCACAGCATAAACAAAAGTCAAATGATTCATCTCAATGAGTTATTCTAGAAAACCACCAGCATGACCATCAGGGACTGTCTGGTCGGTTCCCCAAGGCTTGCTTGACTAAAACCAGATTACTCGCTTTCCCTAGGCTTCGTTTTCAGCAAATTACCGTAGGAATATTTAAAAAGGGAGTTCCAGAATGCCAGTTTCCTTTTCATCTGGTTATAATATAACTCACTTGTCAGGCTTTGTGGTGCTTTCGCACAATTTCACTTGGAAATGGAGAGATGAGCAGCAGCAGGTGTGACGGCATTTGCAGGAGCAGCGCTCATCTTTCTCTGGCACACAGAGAGCCACGTTAGTTTCACTACTGACTCAGTCTTCTTTGACGTCATTCTTCGAGCCATAGTTTTCACTTCTTGGTTTTGGGAAATGGGTCTTGTGAGAAAAGATCTAAACACACTTTGGCTTTGGCTTAAGTATTTACGTTGACTTTGCAATGTGATCCTTGTTGGCAGATCAAGGAAATTCATCGATCCTATTTATCAGATATGGGAAGACATGAGTGCTGAAGAGCTTCAGGAATTCAAGAAACCCATTAAGAAGGTACATTTGTGATTCAACACTTGGAGTAAGCTCCTCCGCGATTACAGGTCACGGTCAGATACTAAGTGGCAATATTGCACTTCAAAATACTGTGTTGTATTCATTCTGCCTTTATAAAATTCCAAGCCCAGGCTATGTTCTTATTATTAAAAGACTTTTTGCTTTTTTGATGGATTGCTTAAAACAGACACTTCACACATTGACTTTGGGAAGTGCAGGTTAATAGCGAATTAGCTGAACAAATTAAGTTCTTACCACCTGATCATTATTACCAAGTAACAATCTCCAAGTGCCACACATTGAAACCATCCTGGAAGTTTGAATTAATTGTATAGATCTTCATGAATGCATGAAGATGTGATCTCAGCATTTCCTCCAGTACACAGTAGGTGGAGCTGGGACACCTACTGCCGAAGAAGAAAGTTAGGGCCAGGCATAGTGGCTCACCCTGTAATTCCAGCACTTTTGGAGGCAGCGGCAAGAGGATTACCTGAGCTCAGGGGTTCGAGACCAGCCTCTGAGCATCATGGCGAGACCATATCTCTAAAAATAAATGAATAAATCAGCTGGATGTGGTGGCACATGCCTGTGGTTCCAGCTACTTGGAAGGCTGAGGTGGAAGGGTCACCTGAACTCAGTAGGTCGAAGCTACAGTGGCCGTGAACGTGCCACTCCAGACTGGACCACAGAGTGAGACTCCAACTCAAAAAAAAAAAAAAAAGAAGAAGAAAGTTAGAATCCAATAAATCCGTGGTTCCCAACCTTTTTGGCATCAGGGGGACCAGTTTCATGGAAGACAATTTTTCCACAGACCGGAGTGCAGGGGATGGTTTTGAGTTGATTCAAGCGCCTAATGTTTATTGTGCACTTTATTTCTATTATTATTACATTGTAGTATATAATGAAATAAATATACAACTCACCATTTAAAAAAAGGTACAGACAGAAGTGGTAAATAAAATAATATGCAGGGCCACATGCAGACTAAAATAAGTGTCAGATTCTGACTTAAAGTCTGCCACCAGATGCAGCTGGCAATTGAAGTACACCAACTCACTTGCCACTCACTGATAGGGTTTTGCTATGAGTCTGCAAGCAATTGGTTTATTACGGTCTCTGTGCAGTCAAACCCCACTGCTAATGTTAATCTGTATTTGTACCTGCTCCCCAGCACTAGCATCACCACTTCAGCTACATGTCTGATCATCAGGCATTAGATTCTTACAAGGAATGTGCAACTAGATCTCTTGTGTCACAGGTTACAATAAGGTTTACACTCCTTTGAAAATCTAATGCTGCTGCTGATCTGACAGGAGGTAGAGCTCAGACAGTAATGTGAATGATGGGGAGTGGTTGTAAATATGGATGAAGTTTTGTTTGCTGGCTTACTTACTGGCTCGCCAGCCTGCCACTCACTTCCTGCTGTGCGCCCCTGCTTCCTAACAGGACACGGACTGATACCGGTCCAAGGCCTGGGGGTTGGAGACCCCTGCAATAAATCAGGTCACTGTTCTCTTTCTTTGTAACACGTTTCATTCCACATTAAAAGTCAGTTTTAATGTGCCTTTTTTTTTGCATTGGACTCTCACTCTGTCACCCAGGCTGGAGTGTTACACTCAAGGCTACCACAGCATCGACCTGCTGGGCTCCTTCTCCCTTAGCCTTCCAAGTAGTTAGAACTACAGGTGTGCACCACCGGCTACTTTTTGGTTTATTGTAGAAATGAGGTCTCGCCATGTTGCCCAGGCTGGTTTTGCATTCCTGCGCTCAGACAATCCTCTTGCCTCCGCCTCCCAAGTACTGTTATTACAGGCATGAACCACTCCACCCAGTCTTTTCTTTTTATTAAGTAAGCATTGGAAAGTTCATTTTATAATTTCCTTTATATTTTTCATGGAGAGAAAGGGTCATTCATTCACAGTATGAATAAATGACATACAATTCATTCACAGTGTGAAGTCATTCATTCACAGTGTGAATAAGTGACACTGAGCAAGAATGACCTGTCATATTGCCTGTCCTCACTGAACTTAACATTTGTTTACAAATCACTTTAAACAAATACAATATGTGATGAGCAATGATGTGGGTGGTTCAAAATAAAGAAGTGTCTTTCAGAGGAAGCTTTTTTTTGTTAAAAAAAATTTTTTATGGACTCTGTCACCCAGGCTGGAGTACGGTGGCATGATTACAACTCACTGCATTCTCCTGGGCTCAGGCGATGATTCTGTCAGCTTCCTGAGTAGCTTGGACTACAGGTGCATACTCCCTTGCCTGGCTAATTTTTTATTTTTTCATAGGCCGTTCTCGAACAGTCCTCCCAAAGTATTGTAATTACAAGCATGAACCACTGCACCCAGTATTTTTTTTAAATAAATAAGCATTGGAAAGTTCATTTTATAATTTTCTTTATATTTTTCATGGAAAGGGAGGGTCATTCATTCACATTGTGAATGAATTTCATACAATAGGTATAACACTGAGCAAGAATGACGTTACCTATCCTCGCTGAACTTAAAATTTGTTTACAAATCACTTTAAACATACTGTGTGATGAGCAATGACATGGGTGGTTCAAAATAAAGAAGTGCTTTTCAGAGGAAGCTTTTTTTTGTTTAACAATTTTTTATCAGCCGGGCGTGGTAGCGCATGCCTGTAATTCTGGCTACTTGGAAGGCTGAGGCGGAAGGATTGCCGGAGCCCAGCAGGTCGAGGCTGTAGTGGCCAGGAGCGGCCACTGCACTCCAGTCTGGGCAACAGAGTGAGACTCCAACTCAAAAAAAAAAAAAATTTATTTTTATTTTTATTTTTTATGATTTCACTCTGTTGCCCAGGCTGCAGTGCAGTGGTATGATTACAACTCACTACCGCCTCCTGGGCTCAGGTGATCATTCTGCCTCAGCTTCCTGAGTAGCTTGGACTACAGGTGCACATTCCCATGCCTGGCTAGTTTTTTAATTTTTTCATAGGCCATTCTTGAACAGTCCTATCAAAGTACTAGAATTCCAGGCACAAGCCACTGCACCAGGCCTGTTTGTTTTTTTAGAGATACGGTCTTGTGATATTGCCCAGGCTAGGCTTGAATTTCTGGGCTCAAGCGATTCTCCTGTCTCGGTCTCTCAAGTAGCTGGGACTATAGGAGTGAGCGATCACACCTGGCTTGGGTGGAAGGTTTTGAAATTAGGATCTTATTTTCTTTGTGTTCACCTTTATACAAGTAGCACATTCTCAAGGAAAGGAATTCTCGAAAGCTTTTCAGTCACCATTTTGTGATCTTACTGGTGGTTTATGTTTTATACAGGAAATTGTGGAGGATGAAGACGATGACTTTTTGAAAGGTGAAGTGCCTCAGAACGATGCTGTGATTGGGATTACGCCGAGCTCTCTTGATGCGCATTTCCGAAGTCCTTCGAGTAGTATGGGCTCCCCACCTGTGCTATACATGCCAGACCAGTCTCCTCTCCTCTCGAGGACTTGTGACTGAGTTGTGACGTTCTTTCCTATCCTGCATCAGGCCCTTCAGCACCCAGTTCGTGCTGTTTGGGCATTGCCTTGAACTTGAACGAGTGCCTGCCTCGGGTATCGGACTTTCAAGTTAGACTTAATCTAGTGTCTGAACAGACTTTTTTTCTCCCTTAGAGTAAAAAGACTGAATATCATGTGCAATATTTTACAGTGGGGTTGATGATACGTATTGAGGACTTTACTTCTTTGTTTATTGTGTACTTTTTTGTGTTACAGCTTTTTGACATAATTATGTAATTTCTAATATAGGCAGCAGCCTGTTTTAACAAGTTGCCTTTTTAAAATAGGTTTTTGTCAGAGCCATGGTCACAAGACTTTGTTGCTCTGCTTTCAGTGAAGAATCCTCTAGGATAAATCCTCTGTTTACAGACTAACTGGAATGGATTTATTTTGGCAACATTGTTTACCTTCTGCTGTAATGGTGATTGTGTTGGGATTTTAGTGGGGTGCAGAGAAAATAGAAGAATAGTAGGGGGGGGGTAGCCAGACCTGGTATGGAATAGGAAAGTTGGGGCTGGCACTAGAAAAGATTTCCAGGGACTTCAGAGACTATGCAAAGCCAGTAGGGGGAGAGAAACAGAATCAGATACTGCCACCATGTGAAAATGTGTTTAGAGAAGAATGGAGGTCTGGGTAATGAACCTCCCATTGAGTGAACTGAAGTTGGGCTTGGCTTGTGTAACACATGATACATGATTTCTCCTTCGACTCTCAAGCGTTCTGTGAGAACTGGAGCTGCCCTGTGAGAACTGGAGCTGCCCGTTGGTAGCAGTTAGATCACGTTACTTTTAACCAGCATTACTTGGTTACTTTGAGAATTTCTTTATTCAACAGGAAAAAAATATTTTGGTTATTTGGTGGCATGGTTTTGCTAGCAACAGTAGGCCTGCAGTCTCCATCTGATGGGTGTGTATGTCATGGATTCAGCTTGATAAGCTCGTCCACAAACTCTTGGTATTTTTATAACTAAACAATGAGAGGGAATGTCTAGGATAACCTCGCTTTATACCAACTTGTGCAAGCACTGTTAGAGTCATTTTGAAGCTCAAGCATATTTTCGCTTTGTTTCCTATATGTTTTAGTTGTTTGTGAAAACGGCTGTCTTTAAATATATTTATTTTTCTGCCTCTTCTATTTATTTAAAGGCAAGCAGTATTTTCATGATCATAAATATTTTATAATGAAATACTTCCTCTTTCCTAGGGCTTTGTATGTTCTTATATAATTACATTGATGGCATGTTCTTGTATAATTACATTGAGTGTGGAGTTTGAATTTCAGTCTATAAATACTTCTTTGGAAAATATAAATTTTTATTACTTCAAAGGTTTTGGAAAGTCATGTGAGAACTTTAAGGTTTTCTTTTTTTTAACTACTGACAAAAGTGGATTTTTGTATATTGGATAAAATGAGTAAGTGAAATTGTACCCACAAAAATTAACCATAAGTGGGGTCTTTGTGGTTGGGAAGAAGTTTTAATGTAGAAGAATGTATTTACAAATAAGTCTGTTCAATTAATAGAGGAGTTTGAGCAAAATAATCCATTGTGAAAATAAAACACTGACATGGTTAGCCTGAAATTTGCATTCTTATGCTAATAAAGGGAGGTACCCCAATGAAAGGACTTCTCACATAAATGTTCTTTTGATTTCTGTGTGTGTTTTTACTGATTAAATGTATTAAAGCACCATCTTGCCATGGAAAACTGCTCCTAAGGCCTCACCATTAAAAGGGAGAAATAAGCCAGGCTCGGTGGCTCAGCCTGTTATCCCGTGCCTTTGGGAGGCTGAGGTGAGTGGATTGCCTTAGCCTGCGGGTTCGAGACCCACCTGGACAGCGAGACCTCATCTCTACAATAAATCAAACATCAGCCGGGCGTGGTAGCGCACGCCTGTAATTCCGGCTACTCGGAAGGCTGAGGCGGAAGGATCGCCGGAGCCCAGCAGGTCGAGCCTGCAGTGGCTGGGAGCGGCCACTGCACTCCAGTCTGGGCGACCGAGTGAGACTCCAACTCAAAAAAAAAGTCCAAAAAAAAATAATAAATAAATAAAAGGGAGAAATAGCCAGGCTCGGTGGCTCAGCCTGTAATCCCATGCTTTGGGAGGCTGAGGTGAATGGATTGCCTGAGCCCACGGGTTCGAGACCCGCCTGGGCAATTTGGCGAGACCTCATCTCTACAATAAATCAAAAACTAGCCGGGTGTGGTAGCGCGCGCCTGTAGTTCCAGTTAATTGGAAGGCTGAGGCGGAAGGATCGCCGGAGCCCAGCAGGTTGAGGCTGTGGTGGCCGGGAGCAAGCCACTGTACTCCAGTCTGGGCAACAGAGTGAGACTCCAACTGAAAAAAAAAAAAAAAAAGGGAGAAATATTGCTGGTGTGACTGAGAATGTTCAGAAACTATTTGCATGCTGTGATGAGGATTGGTGTGTTTGAAGGATCAGCTCCCCCCTCACACCCATCTGAGAGTGACAAGTGACAGGCTTAAAAAGTTACATGCTTTGAAGTAACATCTATGGAGAAAAACTCTGAAGTCTCTTTGGAAATTACACAACAACAATGGGAATTTTCCATGCCTCTTACTAAAAAGCAAGTCTTCAATTGTAAGTCCCTGGGTCCATCCTTTTGTCTTTGTGCTATGGCTGGGTCTTCCTTGCTAAGTAGCTGAATTATATGCAAGTGTGAAAAGACTAGTGCCTTACAAAGTGTCATACATACCAGACCTGGCTTTCCTTCTTAATCAACTGTTTGACCTTGAGTAAGTTACCTAATCTCTCTCTGAACTTTTACTGAGCTATAAAATGGGAAATAACTGATAACTACTGTAGGGTTTTGAGGATTCACTGCATGTAAAAGTCTGTTCATAATAGCTGCTTGGCTACCTTGTAAGAACGTCTAAGCAGGAAGCATGTTCATGGTAAGTTCCTTTCAAGGTTGCGATAACTTGTTTCTTCCATGTTGCCTCCTTGGTGCCAATTTAGATCTGAACTACAGAGGAAGGGCCAGAGTGCCCCCCAGTCAGTGTTTATTGTGGTGACTTTTAACCTCAGTTATGCCCTGGGGAGCTTTGAAAAACAAGATGCAGGCCCAGTGCAATGGCTCACATCTGTAATCCCAGCACTTTGGGAGGCTCAGGCAAGAGGATTGACTGAGCCAGAGGCTTGAGGCCAGCCTGGGCCACTTGGCAAGACCTTGTCTCTACAGTATACCAAAAAATTAGCCAGGTGTGGTGGTGCACACCTGTGGTTCCAGCTACTTGGAAGACTGAGGTAGAAGGATCGCCTAAACCCAGCTGGTAGAGGCTGCGGTAGCTGTGAGTGTGCCACTGCACTTCAGCCTGGGTGACAGAGTGAGACTCAACTAAAAAAAAATTAGCCAGGCGTGGTGGTGGGCACCTATAGTCCCAGCTACTTGGAAGGCTGAAGCGGAAGGATCACCTGAGTCCAGCAGGTCAAGACTGTGGTGGCTGTGAGCGTGCCACTGCACTCCAGTGTGGGCGACAGAGTGAGACTCCAACTTAAAAAAAAAGATGCCAAAGCCCACACAGCCCAATTTGACCTGTTGGATCTGATCAGTTTGTGGGAAAGGGAACTGGACATTGAGAATCTGTTTAAAGCCCCCCTGGTGATTCTTAAGGTTCAGGCAGCCTTGAGAATGGTTCATTGATTTATAACTGCATAATTTAATTTTAACTGATTGAGCATCCATAGCTCCACTATACTTTCCTCCATCAGTGCTTTCCCCTTGTGAATTTCATGGTTACTCCATGGATCTTATAGTAGCATTTATAATGTGTATAATAATTTGGATTCTTTCACTAAATGCCAGATTTTTATTTAATGTTCATTTTTCACTGGTTGTGATACACATCATGGTGTTGCTGTAATGAGATTAAACCACTCAAGAGTTGATCATGATCATTACTTTTATTATAGATACAACTGTGAAAACATCTTCCACGCCTGGAAGGTTTGGTATTGGCATTTGCTTGGTTGATTTTATTTTCTATTAATATTTTTGGTGAATAGCGATAAATAAAATATTTTTTTTAATGAATCAGAGTCTCACTCTGTCGCCCAGGCTGGAGTGCAGTGGCATGCTCATAGCCATCACAGGCTTGACCTGCTGAGTTCAGGTCCTTCGCCTCTGTCTTCCAAGTAGCTGGAACTACAGGCATGCGCCATCACGCCCGGCTAATTTTTCTTGATTTATTGTAAAGACGAGATCTCGTGAAGTTGCACAGGCTGGTCTTGAACCTGTGGGCTTAGGCAATCCTCTTTATCTCGACCTCCTAATGAGAGGGCCGTAATAAAGTATACCTTAGACTTAAGTTAAGAGCATGCTATAACCCAGTAAGTATGTTATCAGCTTGTGGACAATAGCACAGCCATTTTTAGTTTTCTGTCTTAAAACATAACCTGTAACTGTTTAAAGTTCCAGTTATGGGAAAAACTGCAAAGCTTCAACCCCTTCCCTTATCTCACTTTCCCCTTAGCAACATCCAATCAGGTGCCAGGGGGTAATCACCTAAGTTTCCAGATGTCTCTGCAACTTCCCTAGCTAGTGGACCAAGGTCAGCCCAAGTCAGGCTAGCCAGTCCTCCACGATTAAGCTGACCACCAGAGGTTACTACCCAATTAAATGGTAACACAACTGGAAAGCCCCCCCAAACTCCTCCTCCCTTTGTGTAAAAGCCTAAAAGGCATCTGCTTAACGAAATCAGAGCCTCTGAATGTACTCCGCTGTGTCAGCTGTCGACAGAGGCCCAGGCTCGAGCTTGTAAATAAAGACCCTCTTGAACTTTCATCAGAATTGGCTCTTGGTGGTCTCTCGGATTGAACTTTTGGCCACTACACTAAAGTGCAGGAATTATAGGCATGAGCCACTGTGCCCGGCCAGTTTTTCTTGAGTTAATGTATTTCCCAGGGGATGGATTATGAACCTTAAGTCTTGCTACTATTTGCCATAGAACATTGTCATAAACTTAGTACAAAGTAGTAATATAGTCATTTATAATTTAAAATTTTCATTTTAATAATTTACAATTTTTTATTTTGTTACTTAATCATTTTTAATCGCTGTTGCCCAGGCTGTAGTGCAATTGCACCATCGCGACTCACTGCAGCCCCCACCTCCTGGGCTCAGATCTTCCCACCTCAACCAAGTAGCTGGAACTACAGGAGAGTGCCGCCACGCTCGGCTAATTTTTAAAATTTTTTGTAGAGACGAGGTCTCGCTATGTTGCCCAGGCTGGGCTTGAACCCCTGAGCAAAGGCAATTCTCTCGCCTCCGCCTGCAAGTGTTGGGATTACAGGCGTGAGCCACTGCACCTGACCCGTTTCCAAATTTTAGTAAAGAGCCCAGCGTGAGACTCCTTCCACGATGGGCCATACAGTGTCTTGCTGATCTTTCCCCGGGCTCCAGGCCGCGTGTGTGAGCGCCTACTGGATTCCAAGCACAAAGTGTTATTGATGACTTTCAAATGTGTGGGGCTAGCGCAGTTCAGGATCTGTTTTCCCAGTTTAAGACTGTTCACGTTTAAGACTGTTACTCACTGAATACAATCCTACGGAGCAGCACAGCAGGATCCCAAACTCAAATTTGCAGAAGGTTCACACTTGAGTGGCAGAGGCAGCAGTGATCTAAAGCGCAGCAGGCCGTCGCCGGGACCGCTTTCGGTCAGGCGGGCTTTTCGCCAGGACTTTGAGAGCTAAGGCTCTAGTTGCGAGCGCAGCTCCGGGCGCCTGCCGCTCCTCCGCCTCACTCCCACGCTTTTGGAGCTACATTTCCCACCACCGCTTGCGGGAGAGGCGGGCCGCTTCCGGGGCCCCTTCCCTTTTGGACCACGTTTCCCATGGGGCCTTGCGGCCCAGCCCCGGGTTTGCTCCGGCTCCGCGGGCGGTGTCGCCGCCGTCTGGACTGCACTTCCCGGCAGCGCCAGCGGCTGGGCGGTACGGGGCAGGGAGGGACCCCGCGGCCTGAGGGGCGGGGGCGGCGGGCGGCCCGGGGCTGGGGGGG